GCACAGAGCCGAAGACACAAGCCTGAAGATGATGAATGAGACTTCATTGAAACGTTGCCTAGATACTTCCAATTTTACGCGGGAGAAAACCCGAATAACCAAAGATCCACATACAAATACCCGCAAGAACCTTAGAATATATACATACACACACACACACACACACACGTATACATATACATACACACATACATACATATACATATACACATACACATACACATACACATACATACATACATACATACATACATACATATATATATATATATATATATATATATGGTATTCGGCTTGGTTCGGGTATTTTCCCACGTCATTGTAGTTGTTCTTTTAAAGTTGTAGCAACGTTTCAGCAGAATCTCATCTGCCATCATCAGGCTTCTGTATTGTGTCCGTCTGTGGGTCAGACTTTTACAGTGGTTTCAGATTTAAATTTGGGGCAGCCTATTGCTGTGCCAGAATGGTTTTTTCTTCATCCTGATTGGTTGGGAGTCTTGGTCTGTGTTTATTGGTCTCGGAGTTTGCTGTGTTCTGCTTGATTGGTGTCTCTAATATCTTCTGTCTGTTTTTTGGCTCTTTTTGTATCTTGATTGGCTGGCAGCATTGTGTTACTTTATTGGAGGCCTTTAGTGCAGCTTGGCTTCGGGTAAATGGACGGCTATCATTAGTTAGGAAGCTGGGTTTCATCTGGGTGCCTGGTTGGGGTGTGTTTGAGCTGGAGGTATCAGGGGGGATCTGTTTGTGCCCAGGTGTTTGCCTGGCTTGTGGTGTGGAGATTTTTTTGATTGACAGCCTGATGGAATCATCTCTTCTGTTCATGCTTTCTGGTCTTTTTTCAATCTCTATGGCTTCTCTGATGATTCTGTGGCTAGGGTTTTCTATAGTGGCTAGGGTTTTGGTGCCATTGAAGTTGATGCTATGACCTGTGGCTTCCATGTGTTGGACTAGTGAGGAAGTGTGTTCCAGCTTTTTGACTGCTATTTTTCTGTCTGTTTTGAAGGCAGTCTTGATGTGATATCTGTGTAGTACCTTACTAATTTTGTCTGTAGTACTACACAGATATCACATCAAGACTGCCTTCAAAACAGACAGAAAAATAGCAGCCATCCTTAGCAACCCCAAAGATAAAATTGACCTGGAAAACCAAGGCATATACGAAGTCCCCTGTGCATCATGCCCAGCCACATACATTGGACAGACCAATAGAAGAATAAGTACCCGCCTGGATGAACACAAAAATGCAGTCAAAAAGCTGGAACACACTTCCTCACTAGTATTTATATATATAGGACTGGTTCTATGCAGAGAGGTTTTTCCACAGACTGGAGGGTGTGTAGTTTTGTGTACTGCCTGCATTCTTTTCCACGGCCCAGTTTCTGTCACGATGCGGCCATGGACTGGGGATTGGGAACCTCTGCTTTATGAGCTTTAAACTCCTTTTAAACATTTGTGTTGTACTTAAAAATAAACAATAACTGTACAAAAATGTCTAACTTCAATCTGTAAACATGTTTAGGCACTGTGGGTTAATGTCTACCAAATTTTCCTTGCTTTGACTTTGCCTTTCATATGTGTCCAAATAGAATAATTTGGATCTGTCTTTTTAAATTGATGTATTCATGGTAGGTATGTTATTTTGTTTGAATTGCAGGCCCATCTGTGAGGTTGGAAGCAAATTATCCATCTCTGTGTGAGAGCTTGGACAAGGGCAAGAACGTATTCCAAATTGATAAAAGGATTTGTATGGAATTCAAAGCAGAGCCAAATTTGAAGTAATATCTCTGAACCTGAATAGATGGCTTTTCAGCTTCATCCCCCTGCTTTAAATATTTCTCCAGTAGAAGCTAAGAAACTGTGTCTGAATGGAACACCCTGGATTTGGCATCTTCTTGAAGAATGTGTCAGGAATGCATGGGAATACTGGAGCATTCTGCTGGGACTGATCTCTGTTGCCTGCTTTCTGTTTGCTGCACTGCCGTGAGTTTAAACCTTTAAGTATTTTTCAGCTTCATCATGAGCAATCTTGCCTGAGGCTTTACTCAGAAATTGCCAGTCTGGTTTATTCTTTGATGGATTTCTGTTCCTTTCTACATATTATAAATAGATAACCCAGAGCAGCATGTTTCTTCTGTTTAAGGTATTCTGTGATGCTTGATAAACTAGTTGGCTATATCCTATTGGGGCAGTATCTTGAAAACACCAATCTATGTCATCTGAAGCTCCTTCCTACAAGAGCAGTGACTGCTTTATCTTGGAGGAAAAATGAATATACAACTTTTTCTTTGAAAAATCAAGAAATAACCATTCATGGCATATGTGGGATGCATTATCCTATATTCCCTGGGGCTCTTTCTGGACTCAGTTCCATGTTAGGCTTATGTGTGTTTTGAGGGAAAAACCTCCACTACAGGATGAGCCAGAATAATCAATAGTACAATGTTTTCTCAGTCGTGAAATCCTAGTCAATAATCCCTTGACCTCCATTTGCTCATAGACAGCCATTATGATGTAGTGGTTAAGGGGATGGACTAGCAATGGGGAGACCCAAGTTCTAGTCCTTCCTTGGTCATGGAAGCCAACTGGTGACCTTGGACCCAGTCACTATCTCTCAGACCTAAACAGCATAATACACTGATACCTTTGCTATATGAAGGAAGTGGATTTTGCCATGAAACAAGGCATATGCCAAGAGGAACAAATTCATTCCTTGCTTGTACAATATGGATACAGGTAGTCCTCAATATATGACCACAGTTGGAATTGGAACCTCTGTCACTAAGCAATATAGTCATAAACTGAATAGCACCTGATTCTACAGCCTTTTTTTGCACAGTTGTTAAATCACTGCGGTTATTCAGCCAGCTGTCAAGTGCTCAAATTTTGATTATGTGACATTGTGATGGTCATAAGTGGGAAGACCAGTCATAAGTCAGTTTTTTCAGTGCCGTAAGTCTGAATGGTTCTTAAATGAATGGTCATAAGTCAAGGACTTACCTGTATTACTACATGTCTTCAGAGATTAATTAATAATTTGTGAGAGAAGATTTTTCTTGTACTCTGAAAATAATTACAGCCAATATTATATGGTTCTATTTCGTTCTATTTCAGAGAGTTCATTTCTTTACTTCTGTATACTATCCTTATCTTTGCTTTTATCTGAGTTGATTCTCATGCATTTTATGAACACTGAGTAGCCGGATAGTTCCAATGTTATTGTTATTGTTTTTTCCCCAGTCAACTCTACGTAGCCTACCAGAATGGAAAAGTGGAGCAAGCACTTTCTTTGAGTTTTCTGCTGTGCTGGCTTGCAGGAGACCTCACCAATTTTATTGGGTGCTATTTGACAGATCAACTTCCGATACAGGTAAATTTTGCTAGAGTTTTAGTTTTATATACTTGACAATGGCTATTATATATAAATATGCACTTTTGGATGTTCTTTTTCTTGAATCCTCTCTAAAAGAAAAAAAACAAGAGTGAGTGAGCAAAACTTTTGATATGTATATTATTATATATTTTATAAATTGATATGTTAAATTAGGATTGATTCTTTTTACTTTTTTCCAGACTGTAACTGCAATTTTTTATATTAACATGGACATAATTGTGATATCTCAGTTTTTCTACTATAAGTTAAAAAATCAGAAGATAACAAAATGTAAGTATCTTCATTTTAGATCTTTGTAGTAGTAGGTAATGTCTTCAATATTTATATGTGACATTTAAAATTGCCCAAACTATGCAAATTTAAATGGCATGATGGAGTTACAGGATAAGATTAAAATGGTTGCATTTAGAATTCTGTGATTTTAGAATAGCATACATGAAACATCAGCAGAAAAACATGTCGACAAGATCAAGATGAAGTTAAAAGCCTGAATAACTGATCAGAAACCTTGTTGCTGAAGGATATTTTGCTGTTGTTGGCAAGTTACAGCATGAATTTGTCCCATTGTTCACAGCAGGGGTGTCAAACTCGTGGCGTCACGGCAGCGTCATGTGTGTGTATCAGGACTTTTTTCCCCTTCACTAAACCGGGCAGGACCAGCACATGACGCATCCAGCCATGGGCTGCAAGTTTGTCACCCCTGGTTCACAGTAACAGATGTATATACATACAAAAAGGAAATATAAAATACATCACATTCCACTAGTGCAATACATTTAACATCGTTTGTGATCTTACTTCATTTTGATGGCATAAGGGCAGTTCATGTCTCCCATAAAGATATAAGAGTGAAGTGTAATCCTCAAACGCCCCTCTGGCACATTGATTGTTCTAAAAGGGGTGTGTTTTTATCCCCTCTTCTTTAAACATATATATATATATCAATTCAGTGGTAGACCTTTTTCATAACCTAGACTTCTAAACTATCAAGGTACAAAATCCCTATGGTCCTCCACGCTGAGGAAATTGCTATAATTTCACAAATCCCATATACGGTTGAAAAGAACAATGATAGAAATATTATGGTACTGCAGACAAAATCAACAGGTTGTAAATTTTGAGAAATCTAAAATTCTGGCCTTTTCTAGAGCCACTCAACTATCATGGATGTCATAAAGCATATTTCATTTAAATACTTTGCAGTGGTTTTCCATTCTAAAGGCACCTGGAATGAGCACCAGAATTAAGCAATGTAGCTAACGTTTAGAAAGTACCTTTTCTAGGTAAGGAGAGACCAATTAGTCCTGCAGCATTCACACTTTTTGAGGCCAGTTCATTGGCCTAAATGTTTTACAGTGCATAAGTGGAAATGTAGGCAAAGAAGGATGCACTAGAATCGGTGCAAACAAAATTCTTGAAATCAATCCTTGATGCCCCCAATAGAACAGCAAACACCCAGTTAAGGCTTAAGATAGGAATGCCCATAATCCAGGTTTAGGGCATGAAAGAAGTGGATGAATTAATTGCTGAAAATCAAATTCTTTCCAACTGAGCTGGAAAATTAATGAATAATTTTGCTTCATCCTGGAAATAGGTTGCCGAGCAGAGGCTGGCATTGTGCACGTTTTTCAGATATGACCAAGCAAAGGATCAAGTATATGAAGAAGCTACAATTAATAGGTTGCCCCAATATGACAGAAATTGGGTACAACAAAGAGGTGTGGGAAGAAGCAAAATACTTATAAAATCTTAACTTTTTCTGGGTTGAGGAGAACATTTTTCCTAGCCAGGCATAATATAATCTGCGTTGGTGCTAGGCAGATATTTCAAAACCCCATTAACCAAGCATACCTGCCCATTCGGTTACAATGAATTCAACCTATTTTTCATGTATTATTACATTATAAATTCTATAGGGAGTTATAATAGCTTATCTTATATCTTTTCAACCTCCTTGTTATGTTGGTATTTTATTTCATCCACTCAATTTTACTTTTGTCTTGTATATTTTAAAATCTTAGTAGACATTGACCAAATAAACACAACTGGTACTACATAGGATTATTGCAAAATTTATGTTGCAAGGTCATTGATGGCAAAACAGTTGAGTCAATATAAAAATCCCATGTTGCTCACTTGTATTAGAATAGTACCATTTATATTGCAAACAGTTTTTTTTAACAATCAAATATTTTGTTAGCCCTATTTTTCATTTGTCTTTCAAGGTGGAATGAATACCAAGTATTCTTGTATAGCCTGGGTCCTGATATGCTTATTACTCTGTTTAATCTTACCTACTCAGCTGTTGATGAGAAATAACATCCAGAATACTATTTTGGGATCCAATGAGGTAAATCTTTGTTTAAATTACTGTCAAATTTCCATGTAGATATATTAGGCAAGCTAACCTTGACTGATTTCCCAAAATGAAAGCAGAAACAAAACCCTACACAGAAATGGAGCTAGTTGGTACGCAGATAGGATATATCATGACTGTAAGCTACAATGGAAGTTAAAAAAAACATTCTGGAAGAAGAAAGCATCAAACCCCTTTTATATTTTGCAAAGAAAACCATGTAGATATATCTATATAGTCTTCAGAAGATGAACTCTACCTGAGGGAGTCCTTATCTTAATATTTGTAAACTATAAAATATTTCTAAAGATTGTAACAAACTCAAATTATATAGAAAATATCTACTATCTCCAATATTTAGAAGACTCAGTTTTCAATTTTGACAAGGATTTCCACGTTCACTGTTTTAGTACATGGCATGCTATTCACAAGCTATTTTAGAATTGCCTTCTGCAAATGTAAATATTTTTCTATTTTTTAAACTCTTCAGAAGTCTCACGGCATGGCTGAAATATCAGGCTTTGTTTGTGGCTATTTATCGTGTGTGTTTTACTTGGGATCTAGAATTTCTCAGCTCCATAAAAATGTAAGTTTATTAGTTCTGAAGATAATGTGCCTACCTATAACATTCATCAAGAAAGTGAATGATCAATTACAATCTCACTTCTAAAATCACAATAGAATATGTCACACATATCAACTAGAAAATACATATCCAAAATTATGACTTCATCCATTTGCAGTTGAAATATGATACTCTTAAAAGTTGTGAAAATGGTCAGTAAACAAAGCAATTAGCATTGAAATATTGGTTGAATTATGTGTAAAATAAGCTGAATTTTCTAAATGCTTATGGTTTTAACGGGGCTTCTATTGCATTTAGATTCTGTTTATTGAGAACAAGGCTAGATTTACCTTATTAAGAAGAAACAGGACTTGAATAATTAATTTCTTCAGTATCCAAAAAAACCTGGTAGTTTTAATATTTATTTGTGCTGAGTCCATAAAAATTTCCCGAAATTATAGATGGCAAGACTCTAGATCTGCATTTGAGATTAATCTTGAATATTTTTTACAAATGGAGTCTTAAAAAAAATCCATTGTAATATTGAGTGCTTTTATTCAGGATTCAAGTTTCTCAGTCATCTTTTCAATTCTACCCCAATTTTCCATTTTTTTTAATGAACACTAATTTTTTTGGTGATAAATATTGAATAATAAATAAAGATAATTCCAATTGGTGGTTTCTTTTTTAATTTTGGGTGATTTCAGGGAGGATACACTAGACTCCATCTATGTTTGATTAATGTAGTTTCTTGTGTTCTTATTTTTGTGGAACTGATGACAATATGAATTCAAAAGCTTACAATGGTCACAAAAACAGTTATTTCAAATACATGATGAATTACTTATAACACTGCTTTGCTATATTATCCTTTAGTTTCAAAGAAGATCGACAGATGGGACGTCTTATCTTTTGTTTGCATTAGCCATGATAGGCAATGGCACATATGGCCTGAGTCTTGTCTTAAAGATGCCTGCAACACAATATCTTATAAGTCTTTATTTCTGGCATCACCTCCCTTGGTTTATTGGGAGCTTCGGAGTATTGTTACTAGATATTTTTGTATCCTTTTCTAATGAAAATTGATAGTCTTTCTAATTCTTAATTAAATTAATAAGGCTTTGTTGACAAATGATAAAGTAATAGTTTCTTATCTGAAATATTTTCAGGATTTTATATGTAATAGTAATTGATAAAGAGGACTACTGATTTTCTTCATCAGATTTCTGATCAGTTGGCATATGTTTTGTTGTTGTTACAGAACAGAATATGTATGTAGACGTTTTAGTTAAGATGACAACTTGTTTTTATATATAGTTTCAATCTAATCTTTGAGTTAAAAATTGTTTGTATCCTATACTAAAACTATAAAATCAAAACGAACATTTTTTGGCAACTAAGCCTAAGTTCTTATTAAATTATAAAAACTAAGTGAATTCATTTCCATGTTCATATATTTTCAGTTTCTCTCTAATTTAACAAGGACCTCAAGTGAGCTAACAAAGAGCTAATGTTGAAAAAAAAATATAATAAATGTTTATTTGACTTTGGTGATCATTTCCACATATCCTTAGGAACTCTTAATAACATTTCATTATTTAGGATTTATCCACAAATAGTCCTGCATTTACTTGGAAGACCATACCTGAACATTTTCTGAATAAAAATTAATAATATAGTGTGATCCTGCAAATTAGCTTTATTCTAACATTTGTATACTCAGATTTAAACTCCCTTATTACATAAATCTAGCATAATACAAAAAACTAATGTCTTGAGTGCTGAACCCATAGCTTGTAATTATAAATAAAATGTTTAAAACATAACTGTTTTTTCCTTTCCCATTGTCTTAATCCTTCATAAAATAACTATCAATGCTAACTGATAAGTTATATTTAATGCATTGTATAAGTCAATACATTTTTCTTTTTAGTCCACACTATTTATATTCTAGTAGCTGGTAGCAGGTAATTTTGTTGAGTTCAGCCTTCTTGTTGCAATAATTTTTTTCTCATAGCAAAGCAATAAAAAGAGTTTGTTTTTTGATTTTGCAAAAACAAACAAACCATTTAATGGAAGAAGTTTACTGAAGTATCATATCCCTCCTTCCTCTAGGCTATTTTGGAAACTGTTAATATACAAGTTGTGACTTTATGTTTGAGCAAGAAGTATCTAAAAGACATAAAGCTGTACAGGTAGTCCTCTACTTTTCATTTAGTGACCGTTCAAAGTTATAGTGACACTGAAAACAGTGACTTAGGACCATTTTTCACACGACCATTGCAGCATCCCCATGGTCACATGATCAAAATACAGATGCTTGGCAACTGATTCATATTTATGACCGTTGCAGTGTCCCAAGGTCATGTGATCCCCTTTTGTGACCTTCTGCCAAGCAACATTAATGGAAAAGCCAGATTCACTTAACTGTGTTACTAACTTAACAACAAACGTTATGGCAAGAAAGGTCATAAAATGGGGCAGAACTCAGTGCCTCACTTAGCAACAGAAATTTTGGGCTCAGTTGTGGTCGTAAGTCAAGGACTACCTATATTTCCCAATGATAGGTATGTTTCACAATGTTTTTATTTCCAAGCAGAAATGAAACATCCACCCCTGCCCCACGTGTCTGTCTGTTTCTCTCTTACCTTCATGCAGTTATCTATTTCAGCTCTGGAAGCAAGGAACATTTTCTCCAGAGAAGGGATAAGCAGTTTATATGTGGAATTTGTTTTTATACATTTCCTCCTTCTATTGTCATGCATGTGTATGAGAGCAGAAACCGGAATCTAGATCAAAGGAAATTTGATGCTGTTCTAAATAGATATTTGTATACTTAATTGTAAACCTCATACAATTAAATATATGTAGACATCTATTGTATTTATACACAAAGTGTTTTACTACAAATGCTGATTTCACCAATAAATAAGCGGTAAGAGTAAATTGTTTGATTTCTCTTAAATTATGCCATGTTCATTATCGTTGTTTTTGTTTGACCTCCATAATATTTCTCTTAAGTTTACATCCAGATAACTGCACAATTTATTATGTACAGACAACAAAACAAGAGACTTGGTTCAGTGGCCTTGGAGGTGGAACCCTTGCTCATAAATGAAGATTCTTAATGTGCACATTTCTTTGGTGGTACATTCTTTTAGAACAACTTGGATCTGTAGTTAACTTCTTGTTGATTTACATAGATCAATTCTGGATCCCTGCCAGTATATTCATTCTAAAGCCTTAAAGATTTTTTATTTATAAGCAGAGAATGGTGCTAATAAGGTTCTTAAGTTATTCAGATTATTAACCTTAGTCTTAAAGCTGATTTTTGGTTAATCTTAAATTATTGCAAAAAGTAATGAAGCCAAAACTAATAGTTTCAGGATGAATACATTGCTTGGGTTTTAAGAATTGTAATTCTTAAATATTATCCAATTTTTGGAATACTGGATATCAGTTATTTTTCCTTCCCTTTTTCTTGTTGTTAATTGTTAAACAAATTTACAGTCGCATGTATAGTTCTTGACAATTTATACAATGTAATGCATGCTAACCATGGCCAATGTAATATCATTTGTTAAAATGTTTTCAATGCTGTATTTTTCCCTTTGTTTTGCTGAAGAACCAAACATAGGAAGAAGGGAAAGAAACCATCATGGTAACTCCTTTTGGAATTAGCATTTCATAATGATTTTTAGATGGATAACCACATTTCACAGTAATAGTGTAGTGAAAGTCCAAATCTCACATGAAAATAAGAACAGCTTACCACAGGAATAGAAAATCTTTCTGTTGAGGCTTAAGGCAACATCCATCCATGGAGAATGTTTTGGAAGCAACATGCTGGCAGGCAGCAAGGCTCCAACTCCACGCTCTCCATCTCTGTCAGTACTTATTCCTAACACTTATGGATCCTCCTGCCAATATCTGAACAATGGGAACAAAGATGCTGTGCTCAGTATTTTGAAATGAGACTTGCAACTTGAATCCATACTTTTGAGTGCAAATATCAATTTTAGTTCCACATGTGCTAATTTTAAAGCACCACTAAAAAATTACAATGCACTTTGGAGACATCCCAGGATCGTGTTGAAAAAGTATACTCTTTCTGTTGAGTTTTACTTTCAAAATTTTCTAACTGTTATCAGTTGCCGTAAAAGCTTAGCACGTTTTTGAACTGTGGTTTGCTGCAGCTGGTCCCTCTGGATGGTTGCCTTGTTTCTAATCCTAATGAGATTCTTAGGTTTTATTATGTATCGCTGATGAGGGTGGAATTAAGTACAGAGAGATGTTTGAGTCAACTTTTAAAAAGAATTAATTAATTGAGCAGCATGGAATTGGGAGGATACTGCCAAATTTTACATTTCTGTGTGCATGTCTGTATAAAAACATTGTTTCTTTTAATTAATATTGAATTTTAATTTAATACATTAACTATGCACATCTACATACTTGAAGAGCAGGATCTGTAGGATGGCAGGATAGAGAAAAAAAGGAGACTTGAGTTTGACTATCTTGCTTTTGGACACCTGCTGTAATGGGAAAAGATCTTTTTAATAAGTTAAACATATTCAGATGCATATTGGATTTTTTTATTTTCATTTCAGATTGGATTTTTCCATTGAATTGTTAATAATTTGTTGGACTTTATATTTAGATTTGTTATAAAAATCCTTTTGGACAAAATAATAGCACAAGTCTTTACCTTGCAGAGTTTATCTTGATTTATCTTGGCTTTCTAATCAAAACAGTAGAAGTATTTTCTTAGTAAATTAATATCCAAAAAATATTTTTAAAATTGTGCTGTCCATGTTCATGTAAGTTAAATGTCATTTGCATTTATCCTACATAAATCCTGTTTTTATATGTTCAGTATTTCATTATCATATTATGCAAGTTTTTGTGACAAACACAGCCTTTCCTTGTTTCTTACTAGCCTCTGTTTTCAGACAAAGAACATGCTTGGAGGTTTCCAACCCAGTTACACCAGACTAAAAAAAACCAAACAAATAAAAGAGATCATTACTACATGTTGAAAACTGATTTCTTCCTTATTTCCCAAACCTCAACTTTATGTCAAATGTAAATAAAAATCACCTGGAGGAACATCAACATCACCATGACATCCCAAGTATTGATTAGGTAGGCCTTTCAGTCTTTTTCTGGAAGTACAGTAAATATTACCCATCCCTGAAGAAATTATGAGGATTTCCTTTATCCTTGAGCTGTTGGCAAAGTCAAGAACATTCCAGCTGTGGATTCCTAGGGCAACTCTGAAATCTGCTTTAGTCAGGTTTCAAATTTTTGGTAAGTTTGATTTAGATACTTATATGCTTTAGTTTAATTTTAAAGCACTTGACTTCCTTGGTTCTTTAATAATAAATATAGTCAATTGGAAATGGGAGATGATTTAATATTTACCAAATGTATGTGACATATTGTCAAAATGGCTGAGTACATGATTGTAAGGACAAGGAAGTTCCAGAAAAGGAAATACTTGAAAACAGCTAACAAAAATAGTTCCTCAAACTGTACCAAACTCTTCCCTTTGTTGACAGAAAAATCTGTTCCGTTCTGTCCCATCCCATGCCAAGGCTTCAGATTCTGAATGGTTTCTTGGTTTACTGAGGACTCTAAGAGACACTATAGTACAAGTGATGTGTGATATCACTGGAAAAAGTAAAAAAATAAAACAAAAATCTGATTTCAGCATATTTTCAGACTAACTCGATAAAAAGCATATGTCAGTGGTTGCTGCTCAGCAGATGTGTTTATGAGGTTTAACTTCTCATTCCCACTTGGCCACTGATTAGTTTTTTGCTGATACAATCACTCAGATTCACTTGAGTTGTGACTGGGCAAAGCCTAGGTCAGGGGTGTCAAACTCACATTGTCATGGTGTCACGTGACGTATCAGGACTTTTTTCCCTTTCGCTAAACCAGGCATGGGTGTGGCCAGTGAATGATGTATGCAGCCCGCAGGCAAGGAGTTTGACAGGCCTGGCCTAGGTAATGCCTTGTTTGGTGGTGGGTGCATTTTTGCCTACTCTGATGGTGAAAAGGGTATTCTCTGAGATGTCCTTTCTCATCAGTGGGCTAGATCTTTGCACTTCCTGGCTCTCTGGGCAACCAGGAAGATAGTTGTTTCCTGGATCTGGGAGATTGCTAATGCCTTGTTGCAGAAGGAGACATTGCCCCATGGCCTTGAAGGAGATCATGGTGCACCTTAACAGACTTGCTAGAGCCAAAAGCATTAAGTATCCATGGCCTGGTCTCCAATCTTCCCAGTTTCCGAGAGTAAACCTAATATTGACAGCGAGCGAAGAATGAGCATCTGACTAAGCTGAGTTGCTTAAATTGGACCCATGTGGCAACATTGGACTCCAGAAAAGTCTATCTCTGTACATGTCATTTTCTCACTGGCTTAGCTAGCAATTGCTCTTGCCTTCTTCCCTAAATGCACAAAGGAAGGCAGGCAGTGGAAAGGGAAGGAGGAATTTCAGAGAAAGAATTTGCTTCAATCTGTCTTGGGGAGAGGGGTGTTCTCTACTGCAGTCCAGTGGGAGTTTTCTGGAAACTTACATAGAAGCTTGTTAGTTACAGAGTTGTGTCCAACCCATCACAACCCCATGGACAATGTTCCTCCAGGCCTTCCTGTCCTGTACCATCCCCCGGAGTCCATTTAAGCTCACACCGACTGCTTCAGTGACTCTATCCAGCCACCTCATTCTCTGTTGTCCCCTTCTTCTATGTAGAAGCGAGAACTATCATATACATCTCCATTCAGGAGGACCAGTAGATGGCAGCCAAGAAATGCAAAACCTAATCCAGATACTTGTAGCCCAGAACTGCTAGCAGTCATACAGAACTAATGTGGATTTGTAAGTAAAGGGAAAGATTTAGAAAAGGGAGGAGAGAAAAAGTATTTACCGGTTATTTGAATATAAATGGAGGATTGTGCCCTCTACCTCTAACACAGAGTTTTAACCTCTGATAAACTAATATTTAGATCCAGTCTCTTTATTTCGTCATTCATCCAATACTTACTGCAGATCATTTGGGTTGACAGGAAACAAATGGGAAGATTCCTTGGGATGCGTTCACATTTCAACCAAGTGATCTTTTCTAACACCACAAGGGGGCACTGCATGTCCTCCCTGTATGTGTTGAACCATTCACTAAGCATTTCATTAAACTTGTGTACAATAAACTTGTACTGCTACCAGTGGTGGGATTCAAATAATTTAACAACCGGTTCTCTGCCCTAATGATTTCTTCAAACAATCAGTTCACCAAACTGCTCAGAAAGTTAACAACCGGTTCTCCCGAAGTGGTGCAAACTGGCTGAATCCCACCCCTGACTGCTAACAGTTGCAAACAACCTTCATATATATTTGAAATATTTTATAATTCTTCCCTGTTTACATACATATATATATACACACACACACACACATACACAAACAATTTTAAATAAATGTATTGCACTAATACATTCCATTGTCATCTCATGAGATATGAATTTAAAGCTTCGCTTATGAATAACCTCTGTAGCATTTGCTTAATAAAATATATCATTAAATCTGGTCCACATAGAAAAGTATTCTTGTCTCATTTTCTTATGAATATGTAAATAGTAAATATACTTGAAGATTTGCAGTTGTCATATCGCATGGACAATTGTGAGCTTCTTATTCATTTAGGAATTCACTGAAACTTTCAGTTTGTCAGGAGTGCTTAAATAGTTCCATATATCTGGTAGAATATTTTTTTGGGAGTGGGGAGGGTATAGACACTAAATCCAGAAGACAAGATGTTAGAAAATGCAATTGAATGTTTTTATGGCAAGGAAGTGGTCGAGATTAAGATTAGGATTTTTAGTGGGACAGATCAATCAAGCAGCAAAAGAAAAAGAGCATAAATCCACTTTTAAAAATTATATGGTAATTTTTTTGTTGTGTGCAGACAATCCAGTGGAACAAAAAGCAAATATAATGCAAGCACAATTCTTAATGAGTATAAATAGCAACACAGTTGCAAAAATGTCAGTTTCATAAAATATTGCAATATGGACATACAATATGGCTACAGAAAGATTCATACATTTCAGCAAGGCTTCCAAATGTTCTGTCTGGGCCTTCTGCTTCCCACCTATACATTCCTTGAAGAAAATGTCATTGGTAGTAAATAGAATAAATATTGGGAAAGGTGCCTCTATAATAAAATAGAACTTCAAGACAGGAGAAGATTAGCAGAGAAAAAGAAACCAAGAGGAAAACATACTTCCGAATATAAGAACATTTTGTAGAATAACAACCCAAGGTATGTTTATTTAGGAATAAGTCCCTACTGTGTTCAGTTGCACTTATCCTCAGGTAATAATGCAACAACGGTACCTTAAAATTGAATGTCTGTGGAGATTCTCAGTCATCCAGGTCATGGTTGTCCCAAAGGTGCTTTTTCAAGTCCAGCAACTTTTTCTTTGAAGACATTTCACTTCTTATCCAAGAAACTTCTTCAGCTCTTCAAAGAAAAACCAGAAAGTCTAGTTGCCTCTTGAAAAAGCACCTTTGGGACTTAAAATGGAATGATTTTGTAGGTTCTCAGTGAAATTGTACTTAGGTAGCATTTCTACCCAATGATATAAAATGTTCTTATAACTGGAATCCTTCCCTTTTTAAAAAGGATTCTGAAACAGATAACAGACAATCAGAGTTGGAAGGGACTTTGTGGGTCATCTAGTCCACCCCCCCCAAGCGGGAGACCCTACACCATTTCTCACAAATGGCAGTCCAATCTGTTCTTGAAAGTCTCAAGTGATGGCGCTTCCACAACTTCCAAGGGCAAGCTGTTCCATTGGTTGATTGTTCTCACTGTCAGAAAGTTTCTCCTTATTTCCAGGTTAAATCTCTCCTTGTTCAGTTTCCATCCGTTATTCTTTGTCTGGCCTACAGGCACTTTTGCTTGACCCCTTCCTCTCTGTGTCAGCCCCTCACATATTGGAAGACTGCTATCATGTCTCCCCTGGTCCCTCTCTTTACTAGACTAGCCAAGTCGAGTTCCTGCAACCATTTGTTGTATGTTTTAGCCTCCAGTCCCTTAATCATACTGGTTGCTCTTCTCTGTACTTTTTCTAGATTCTCAACATCTTTTTTGTAATGTGGTGAACAAAACTGGATGCAGTACTCTAGGTGTGGTCTTACAAAGGCTTTATAGAGTGGTATTAGTACCTCCCTTGATCTTGATTGTATCCCTCTGTTAATACAATTTAGGATTGCATTAGCTTGAAGGCTATCAGGAAGTGGTGCCAGCAACATTATGAAATGACTGATTCCAAATTTGGGGACCAGTTATGGCAGTGGGGCATTTTTAAAGGAAAGAATGGGTGCCTTGAATGGATGAATGGATGCTCCTGGGCAGCTATTATTCCCCGTTAGGAGAATGAGCGCATACAGGGAGACGTATTTGAGAGTAGTGTTTGAATAATACACACACAGCACACAGATACACTGTATAGTAAATGTAGGTTTTTACTTTCAGAAACGTTAAGCAAAGTTCAAACACAGTCCAAAGTCATTCACAGGTAAGATCAGTCAGTTTTCATCCAGGGATAATCCAATAA